TGAATAATTATATTTATAATTGTGTAACTATTATATAAAGTAGTAAATAGGTTGATGAACTTAATCTAGAAATTACACGATCGAATAATAAATTTTGTGTAATTGATTAAATATTCAATTGAATTTTTCTTGCATTATTTTCAAAATTACACATATTGTATCTTGATAAGTAAGTATTACAAGCTATCACTAAAATATATTCCCTCCGTTCCATGTAATATGGGTGTATTACTGTAGACACGAGAATTTAGGTAAAGTATAATTAGTAAGTAATTAAGAAATGTATTAGTAAAAATAATTATAGATTAATATTAAGATAACTAAATAGTTTAATTAAGATTAAAAAAAATTTTAAATTTTAAATTTTAAAATACGATTAAAGTGTATAATTAATTTTTCAAAAAAGAAAAGGACAAATTATATGGGACGGACAAAAATAGAAAATATGGACAAATTAGGTGGGACGGAGGGAGTAGTTTTTTTCTTCTTAATATTTTTCTCATGCGTTTTTCCAAAAAAATTAAAAATTAAATACATTTATTATTTTTATATTTCCTACGCAATTCTCTCTATCTCGTATATAAAAAAATTTCTTTCCAATTATCTTACAAAATAAACACACCCATAATATCTATTAAACTCTCCGTAAAAAATAAATGCCCACATTTCAAATTGACAAATGGAGCATTAATAATATATTCCCTCCTACTTGTAAAAATAATTTCATTTAATTTGGACACAATTTTTAATATAATGTGTAACTTTTTATTTTTAGAATAAGAAAATTAGAAATAAAATAATTTAAAAATTAAAAAATAGTATAATTTGTACTAAAAAATGAAACAATACTTATTTTTTTTATGACAAACAAATAAGGAAAGTGGCTTTGTTCGGTTGATAATTTGGATTTTGGGTTTGAACTTCGAATAATAACAAAATTAAATTTAAATAGCTGTATTATGTGATATAAAAAGATATTGATATTGTATTTTGAATATAATTTAATTATTAGTATAATATAAAAAAATATTTGATTATCTATTTTTGGAAAAAAAAATAATAAGTAATAAAATTTGGGCAAAATCCCCTAACCAAACACCCTATAGTAGATAAGGATAGGCAAAAAAATCGAACCGAATCGTCGAATCGCTGAACTGAATTGAATCAAATCGAATTTGCAATTAATCGAGCAAATTCGGTTCGAATACAAATACTGCATATTTGATATTTGTTCGGTTTGGTTAATCTAACCGAATATATTTTTTAAGATATACTATATCTTTTTAATTTTGGTACGATTCTAATTATTTGTAAATATTGCAAATATTTTCGGTTAACGGTTCACAATTTTAGGTATTTAATCGGTTCGATTCAGATATCAAATACCTGCATATTTGCAAATAACAGAACTATGTCGAGACCCCTTATAGTAATAGTAGGTATATCATATTAGGTATATATTTATGTCACATCACATATTTATTTTTCATTCGATGTTTTAAAATAAAATTGTGATGTTTCATCTCGTGTCTTGTCTGCCCCTAATTCGTACAAAAACAAATTTTCCGACCACATTGGAGAAAACAAATTATAAAAAGACAAGTAGGTGTCTACTTTCAACTTTTTGATGTTCTATTTTTACTTTTTTAATAAGTAATTTATAATAATATTAGTATTAATAAAATATTTTATTTTAAATTTCTTTTGTTTATTCATAAAATATATATATTTGAATTTTTTTATTCAATTATAATTTCTTTTTATAATTATGGATCCCATTTTTTTTTTCTACAAATATCCTAATTTTACTATCACATCATTATTTTTATACTTAAAAATAAAGATAAAATTATCTTTATATTACTTTTAACTAATTATAATAAATAAAATACTATGATTTTTTAAAATTTTGTACCAACAATAAATATATATTTTAAAAATAGACGGAGAGAGAAATATCAATAAATGATTGAGTAATAAATTTTATATATTCTCTCAATAATAATTAATTATGAATGAGACATAATTATTAAATTTTAAATATTAGTTTTTTTCTTCAAAAAATATACTCCCTCCGTCCCATAATAAAATATCTATTTTTTCATTTTAATCTGTCTCATAACAAAGTATTCATTTTATTTTTAGTAAGTGTACTATTTATCTAAAATTACAAATACCTTTACAACTTACAATATATTACACAAATATCATTACATTTATATTACACAATACTAAAAAGATTATTTTTAGTATCCAACAATTTTTTTAGACTTTAACAGATTCTAATACCATTATACTAATTGATTTATTTTTTATTTTTTCTTTAAAGAGAATTTCGCAAATAGGGTGAATATATATATTTTTTAAAATGTATCCAACAATTTTTTTTCAAAAGAAATTAATATGTTATACATACTCATTATTTTTATATTATTTATGTAATTTTTTATACCTAAAGAATTTATCTGTAAACCAAAATACAAAACAAACAAACCTATATTTTTAATTTTTTTTTTCTTCTTGATGGTAAAAGTGAACAACATAATTGAGTTTGTTTACCCAATCTATTTTTTGGTGACATAATTTTCTATAATATATTATAAAAATTATTATATAGTATTTATTCATAAAAAATCAACAGTTCAACAAAACAAAATATTAATTTTCATTTTAAAAAAATATTCATAAAAAATAGAAAGTGAACACATATAAATAATAATAATAGTAATAATAAGAAAGATCTTAAAAAACTACGAGCAATAGAAAAAATAAAAGGATGATTTGGCGATGTGGGTGTGAACTCGTGACCGTAAGATTATCCCTGACGCCTCTAGAATTTGTCTATCACACACGATTTATCGTCTAATGCAAATTATTTTAGAGCGCACTCGTCAAATAACGTTGCAGATTCTAATATTATACTCCCTCTGTCCCTTAACAATCTATTTATTTTTCTATTTTGGTCGGTCCTATAACAAAGTATTCATTTTATTTTTTAGTAACTGTACTATCTACCTAACATTATAAATACTCTTCCAATTTACAATATATTATACAAATATCATTACATTTATATCATACAATACTAATAGAGTTAATTTAGTCTTTTTTACCTTTATTTATACTTTATTCCAATATAATACTAATATTTTTAAACTCTGTATAAAAAATAAATTGATATATAGATATGAGACGAAAAAAGTATAAAATAATAAAAAAGGCCAAAAAGGAGTAAAAAGCCACTTTTTTCACCAACAGCCTGAGGAAATTTTGGAGGGAGTCATCAAATCAAAGCCATACTTTACACACAAGCATAAAGAGGATAACACAAAAGGTTGGCAACAAGTTTCATTTTTTGAATTCTTTTTTTCAAAATTTTATTTATTTTTTATTTTTTCATTTAAAGATGAACAAATATAGTATTCCTCCGTTTCACATACTTTGTCATTTATTTTTTTTTAAAAAAAATATAATTATATATTTTAGTCACATTTTAAAATTTATAATCTATAATTTTTTTATTCTAATTAAAATATTTAGTCATCTTAATCTTAATTTATAAGTATTTTTAATAAATTATAATTATTTTTATTAATAGATTTTTTAATTATTTACTAATTATACAATTTCTAAAACTCTGTGCCTAAATTAAAGTGAACAAATTAACCGTGGGATGATTTACTAATTTTCTCACTTCATGTATATATTCATTCAAACCTTTTACTGTTATTTGCCTCAAAAAAGCAACTATTATTTGCCAATTTTTTTGTTTAATGATAATATTTTGCACCTAAATTTTACTATTTATTTTTTTTTCTTTAAAAATATCAAATTAAATATCAATTTTTATTTATTATATTACATTAGAATTTTGTTTTATATTCAAAATATTATATAAATATATATTTATATCATATCAAATAATTATTTCAATTTAAAAATTTATTATTCAAAATTAAAACCGAAAACCAAGATTTTAAAAGTAAACACACCCATGAATTACGAGTGTTGTGAGTTTATTTTGTGTGTTGGTTTTAAAATTTTTTTACCTGAAATATAAGAATTTTGTAAGTAATACAAAAAAATAATAATAATACTTATAATATTTCCTATGTCCAATAAGAGTTTTATTTCTATTTTAGTTTGTCTCAAAATAAGATATAACTACTGTACTACTTATTTAACATAATAAATACTTCATTCGTAAATATTAGTATTATATTGGAAGTATTATATTAGAATATATTAGGAATAAAGTAGAAATAACTAAAATAACCTTGTTAGTATGTTTGATATAAAGATAATGACATTTGTGTAATATATTGTAAATTGTAAGGGTATTTGTAACTTTAGGTAGATAGTACAGTTACAAAAAAAAGAAATAAATACTTTGTTATAGGACGGATTAAAATAGAAAAATAGATATTTTGTTATGGGAGGGAGGGAGTATATATTTTATTTTATTTTTTACTATAAATATTCGTGCATAGATGCCATAGAGATAATTTTATTTTTTACTATAAATATTCGTGCACGGATGCTATAGAGATAATTTTATTTTGTTTTTTTATTATAATTCAATATAATATTAATACTAAAAAATCTTTTACTACTATTCAATATAATATTAATATTAAAAAATGTTCGAAAAGTAAACTTGATGGACGATGGATGAAATATATTACTCTCTCCGTCCCAAAAGTATAGTCTTATTGTTTTTTGCACGAAATTTAAGAAATATTGATATTATATTGGTAGTCGGTAAAAATAAGTATAAATATTTTTTTTTTTTTTGTCCTGTGAGTATATTAGTGTAAAAGTAGTGACAAGAGTAATTTTTTTTTTAAAAAATATGTAGAAATTTTTTTTATAAAATAAACGAACCCGTGGAGCCCAAATTAATACACCCGTGGAGCCCAAATTAATACGGGCTTCTATCAAACCAAGTCCAAAATCGTGCGATTCATTAAAATCAAAATCCTATCTGGAACAATAGAGCGTAGTTCAGTTGGACTGCCGGAGTAGAATAGGGATCCATGGGGAGCGCGAAATCGCCATGGCTGCTGCAGCTCTCCATCACGTTTGCTGTGGCTTCGGTTTCAGCTTCGGCGGCCATTTCTCGTAAGTTTTAATGGAACACTGACAGAGATACTATCCCTCAGTTTCTATGTTCATACATTCTTTTGTTTTTGGGTAGTGTATTTGTGGAGAAGGAAATCGAAATCCGCTTCAATTGGGGAATCGAATAAAACAATTCAACAACTTGAAGCCTCCGTAAAAGCCGCCTTGGAAAAATGCGCTGCAGAAAGGAAAGGCCGCATTAGGGCACAACAGGTTTGCTAGACTCAGTGTTTGTTTATTTGTTTATTCTTTTTTTATTGTGAGAATCCATTGCTGGAAAGGTTGAAGTTGCTGAAGTTTTGGCTTAGTTGAATCTGACAAACCTACCAATTCATTGTTTTTGTCCTGCACTTTAATTATCTTTGGCGCCATTACGCTTCTTCTTGGTGGAATGAATTGTATACTTAATACTTGAGTTGCTTGAATTAAAACTTAAGTAATAAGGTAGTCAGGATGATTTCTATCTGTTATTAAGTAAGTTTGACTTGTTTTCATTCAATGATTCATGAATATTCCTCCGATTCTTTCATTGTTTTTGTTGTTATTATGGTCATTGATCGATTTGTTCTTATACCTTTCAGTTGTAATTTTGCACACATTTTATTGTGCATACCATTATGTAAACGTAGATTTCTGAAATATGCGTCATTGTTTCCTGTGCCTTTCCTCCATTTAGTCTACAACAGAACTTTATGCAACTGAAGTTAGTGCATAGTGATGATAAATTGCATGTATTTCAGGCTTTGAGGGAAGCAATGTGCAGGCAAAATCAGGACAAACCTGAATTTAATTCATACCCCATGACGCCTATTGCAGTTGTCCGATCCTGCTTCTCTACGCGGTAATCTGTTAAACATTGACACCAAATTTTCTTAAAGACATTATGTTTGAAAAGCACCCTTTGAAGTTACTCTGTTATTGGCAGTAGTCATCCCTAGCATCTAATGACATGATTTCCATATTTGAAGATTCATACTGGAATGTGTGCAGTAATGGAACTCCAAGACAGCCTTTGCTTGTGCCTCTAGCAAAGGCATCCTTGCTATTTGATTATTCTCGAGTTCCTCAAGCATCGCTTCAGGGTCTTGAAGGATATTCTCACTGCTGGATTATCTATGTGTTTCATCTAAATACTGATCTTAATAAGTTGTGGAAGCACCCATCGCAGTCAAGATTCAAAGCAAAGGTTTGTGCTCACATTTTGATTTTCTTGATAATATAGTTAGTGGCATCTTTAAGGTTAGTGGATGAACAGGTAAGGGTACCGAGATTAAAAGGTGAAAGAGTTGGAGTCTTTGCTACAAGGTCACCCCATCGTCTGTGCCCTATTGGATTAACAGTTGCAAAGGTATGGTGATATTGATTAAAAAAAATCAGATCTTTCAAATAAAGGTTTCTTGTTATATTTGAAGGACCTCTTCAAGTAATCTATTAGAATGCTCTTGCAAACCTTATCCAATTATAGAACTCAGCTGAGGCTTCTCCCCAAGATATATTTTGAGTGCGACCCCGCAAATGTCTTTGTTTGGATTTAAGCAACTTCAGCTCGATGGAAGTTAAATTTGGATTACAATACTTTGGGGCTTCATTTCGAAATGTGGTGCCTAGACACGCAAACTCATGGGCAGACCTTTTTACAAAAAGAGTAGTTCACACTTTGTTACTTGGCTTTAGTCTCAGTATCAATGTAGCTACTATCCCCTATATGCTCTTGTCTAGTCTCCTTTCCTCTAAGCTTCCTATGTTTCATATTTCTATGCTGTTAATTCTTCTATAAATAATATACTTCTACTTTCCGAGAAACTTCTGAACCCATAGTGATAATCCAAATTTTATATGTAAGACTGACATTGAATCCCCGGAATTATTGATCTTGTTTTGCTGTAAAATTTTGGTTTGCATTCTGATCGATTATTCTTGTGCAGTGTCATTGAGTCTTTATTCTCCGGAAAGGGGTTCCATATCCGAGTCTGTCTGAATATTAGTTATGAAAATTCTAAACACGGGTAATATGTTTTACTACCTAACCCTTCCAAGTGCATCATTTGCATTTTATTATCCAATACATTTACAAAGTCTAACCATAACAGCAATGATGCTTGAGATAATTAACTTTCTAGATTACTTAGTCCTGAGTCCAAATTTTTGGCCCCTTAAATTTTTAATTTAAAAAAAAAAAAAAAACTGATCCCCAGTTTTATTTTAAGAGCGGTGAAACACCTGGATTAAAATTTTCCATGTTGTTGACGCCAGAATCCTCCCCTTCCGGAGAAAAAATGTTATGGACAATTTGCTTTGTTGCTCTTTTAGGTGGAGGCTGTCCACGGGCATGTTGTATTACTATCTGGTGTTGACCTGGTTGATGGGACTGTAAGTTCTGTGTTCCCTTTTGGTAGGAGTTTTGTGCAAGAGAAAGTTCCTTCATAATTTGTCGCTCTTACTAGAAAGTGCATCATAAACGGTATTCTGTAATACAGCATAACTATGTCAAAACTATTGCAGCCTGTCTTGGATATCAAGCCTTATTTGCCATACTGCGACAGCATTCAAGATGCCACAGTTCCTGACTGGGTGAAGGTAATTTCCTACTTATTGGTAATTATCTGGAGTGTGTTGTCTTTGTTATTGTTGTCATTTAATGGATTCTATGGTTTTAAAAATGGTATCACTTATAAAACTTGATGTCAAGCTAAATCACTTTAGATTTATCAGCATAGACAATATTGATTTCACTTTGAGATGTTATTTTCAACATACGGTCTTAAAAGTCATATGCCAATTAAATTACCACCCATTCTGTTCAGTGAATTAAAAGTATGATGGTTTAGTGTAATGACGTTCACATTGAATAAAGGAAATTGCTCTTTTTAGTCTTGTACCTGACCCCTCTTATCATTTAGTACCGTAACTAGACCATGTATTGGATTAGTTTCAAAACTAAAAGTTTTTTGCAGAGATTGTCCTCATGCGTTAGAGTTGGTGGTGTGGTAGTGTTGTGGCACGCCGGACTGTCTGAGGATCATTTCTGTTAATTTTTTTTCCTTTTTATTAGCTTTAGGACTAATCCAATAAAGTAGTTATGGTCCTAAAATGATCCTCAGGTAGATGTCCATCAGTCATTTATGTAATTTTTGACATGCCACGATGCTGCCACCTTAGCAAATAGCAAATCTGACACCTGAGGATCATTTCTGTTAATCTTGTTTTAATTGTGGGCCTAATACAATTAAGTTCGAGATATGGTCCTATGATGATAAAAAAGTCCCATACGGTACTAAAAAATATTTTTCTCTTGAATAAATAGTGAAGTATGGTCCAATTCAAAATCAAACAAGAGCGTATATCAAACCATATACGGTTTCTACATGATATTAGAGCAGGGCAGATCTGGTGTTTGAGTTTTCACCATCATCCACTGACCAAAAAAGGTTCATGTATAAAGGCTTTTGAAAGAAATGGGTATCATGCTGAAATAATAGAAACTATGAGAAAGGGAACTAATGTCCTACGTCAAATAATTATGACTTTTAGATTGACTTATATAGTTACACCTAATTATAAGCTTTAGACCGTAAGTTTTTTATGTACCATATTCTTGAACAGGTGGATAGCTTGCTAGCCGTATCTTCTGTAAACTTCTCGGAAAGCTTTTTCTCCAATCTTAATGATTGTTGGTTGCGTATGGTAAGACCCTGGAACCAAATTTTTAGAATTAGGCTGCTTGGTTTCTGATTAACACTTCTTTACTCTATTTTTTTTCTTAAACATATATTGTTAACTTTACATGGTGGTTGGCCTTTCTCTTGTTTGGTATCTTGCTCTTTGGTTCCCTTCAGGAAAATAATAATGAAAGTTGAAACCCACTAAAGCCTCTCTTTTGGATTCCCTGGTAGATATATCATTTGCTCCTAACCATTGCGAATGCTGCAATATCTTACCCTTATTCACAGATAGGGTTTGCTTATGGATATAGTTGGTTGGGTAGAAGCAATCAAATGTTCCCATAGTCATGATTGTTGACTAAGCTGCTCTCTCCATTCCTGTTAGTAAGGCCGGCGTGTTAGTTGAGGGAAGAGGGCATTTCTTTCGTGAATAATTTGATTGATCCTAATTCTATATATTTCATCATAGTTCGGTGAAGTCAGTTTAGTCCATCCTCTGTAAATTGGTAATTATAAAACAACTGCCTCTCTACCATGTAGTATGTAGGGAAGTTTATTGTGTGACAATGTGGCTCTAGTCTCTACATATTTGAGCCCTAGAATAACCTGTTATGCAGCTGCAAAAAAAATAAAAATAAAAAAAAGGTTCCCTAAAGATCTTGGTTTGAGTGCATAAACATACTGCTATGGAGTGGCGGTGGCGGTAGACAGCCTTGTTCTATCGACTGCTATGTTCACTAATAATTGATATTTTATGTTGCTTTCTTAATTTGATACTTGAGACTTTGTATGCTTTTTCTATTAAATATATGCATTGGATTACTAATTGTATATAGGCATAAAAACATTAGCAACTTATTTAATTTTATTTATATTTTCTTTGTACTAACTTATGGTGTGCCCTGTGTGCCACGCCCACAGAGACCCTATTGTCCTAGCCATGCACGGCCAATTTCCATGGACGGTAACATTATTTGCAATCTGATGACTCTGATTTTGGAACAACCTCAACCTCTACAAATATGCCTATAGCAACACAAGCCACCTTATTAAACATGTGACAAGTTCAATTTTCCAACTTTTGAAAATGAACATAACTCCATTTTAAGTACTCCTAGGCGTAAATTTCATTGGTAAATATTATCTACAATAATCATGGTATGTTACAAATTTACCATAACAATTATTATCATTTATGTAAAAATTTGATCGATGGCATCCATATATAATTCTTGTGGATTCATTATCAACTTGATTTTTCTAACTTTTTCCAGGAAAACAAGTCACTTTATTCTTCTCCAGACGAATTTATGTCTTTGATAAGGCAGGTGCTCTCGTGGGATATAAGATCTGTATCCCAACGAAACCGTACAGATCAGTCCTCCATTATAACAAAGGCTGCTAGTTGTGGTTATGAATCAGAAAGCACTATTGCCAGTGCTAGTTCGATCGTTGGAACTTGCTTGGACGATGAAACAATTGAAAATGAAGGTGAACTACATTCCCCTCATGTTGTTTATCATGTCATTTTGGAAGGTCTTGATGTTTCTTACAGGATTGATTCGAGTGCTAACATACATGTTGAGAAAGTAACCTTTGCATCATCTCGAACTAAAGGACAGTAACACAATTGCTTGGTGATGTTTTGTTGTTATTTATAGCTTCTCTAAATAGTTTGCAATCTGAAAAGATCATTGAAGTGATTTAGATGGGATGCTGATTTGGATTTTTGCAGCTTGTAAGAATTGGTTTTGGATCATTAGATTTGGAGGATTATGGAATATATGATTTGAGTTAGATTTATTGTTGAAACATTGATAAAAACATTGCTGAAATAGATCAATATTGTTGTTAAATTATCATTCATATTGTTGATGGAATATTGTTGATAAATTCTCATTCACGGTCACAAGTTCAACCTCTACACAACCAGGCCATCCCTTACGGAATTTGTTGATGTGTTGTATTTGTATTATATTAACATATATAGTGTGTTGTCTGTAGTAATTTTAAATTCAGTGTTGTAGCTGCCGCCTTATGTCATAGGCGCAAAAAGTATATGTATGTTTGATTTAGATATATTGTCGAAATAAATCTATGTATGTTATTATTATCTTCTGAGCTACCATTAAAGTTATAAGTTGTTCTTTAATCTTAGGGGGTGTATTCAATATAGATTTTATAGGATTTTGTTGGATTTTTAAAATTTGGGTGTATTCAATCAAGACTTTTAAAATCTTTTAAAATTTAGAGTATTCAATCCAAAATTTTAAAAGTCTTTTAAAATCTTTTGAGGTATTTAATATAGACTTTTAAAAGTCTTTTAAAATATTGAGATATTCAAAGTTTATGGATTTTAATGGAAAATTGTGAAAATTTTGTATAGGAAAGAATTTCTCATAATCTTCCGACAATTTGATGGATTCTTAAAATTATTATTATTATTATTATTATTATTGTTGTTGTTGTATATATGATCAATAATAATAATAATAATAATAATAATAATAATTTTAAGAATCCATCAAAACATTTTAATATTAGGAGAGATTTTTTTATATACAAAATTTTAATAATTTTTCATTAAAATCTATAGAGTTTAAAAGTATATGGATTGTTGAATATCTCAAATCCTTTGCAAAATTTATATTGAATACACTTTTAGTCTCAATAAAAGCAAATTACAAATACAATAATTGCAATTTGATTCAATGGGACTAAATTGCAAAAAGAAAAAATTAATACAATCAAACTATTTGGTTTTACATATCCATGAAACAAAATTTGCCCCAAAAACAAATAAGCAAAGAGTTATGGCCACCGTCATGGGAGAAAGAGTTGATCGGAGAATCGGCTGCGACGTAGGAGGCGGAACTTCCAAAGGTGGAGGCGCCATCGATCGATAGTCGAGCAAAGTAGTGGAGAGCGGCGTAAAGGTGTTGAAGCAGACAATAGTGCCGGAAATTGACCAGAAAATCAACGTCGGAGCTGAATGACAAAACACCACGTATAATATTAATTAAAATTTTATAAGTAAACACACGTTATTATTATTAGTATCTGAAGTGTTAAAAAATACTCACGAATAATAGAAAAAGTACAAATTAATATTTTTTTAACGGACAATTGGGCAAAAATCCCTCTGTCCATTTATCATTTGGGATTCAGTCCCTAATGATAAAAAATTGTTCTGCACTCCCCCCTTTTTCCTTCTTCTTCCTCCCTAATCGTATTTCTCTTCATTCTGTTTCTCTTCGCGCAAAAAATTCTTGTCAAGCCGTTGTCCTCTTCCGTGAGCTCGAAAGCCACATCCCGCACAGGTAAGGTTCGTAATTGTTCGCCCGATTTTACATCGCCGCTTCTTGTCTGGTTCGTTTCAAAAATTTCCTAGGGCACTCTCCGAATCCTGTTCCGGTTCCCTGTCGTCGGCGGTCGGTTGATTCGGTCGAAGAACTACCGAAGGCTGTCACCGGTTCCGTGGCCCGTATTTCTTGGTCTCCGGTGAAATTAGATGTACCAAGTGTGTTTTTGTGTCGGTTGATTCGGTCGAAGAACTACCGAAGGCTGTCACCGGTTTCCTGGCCCGTCTTTCTTGTTCTCCGGCGAAATTAGATGTACCAGGTGTGTTTTTGTATCGATATCTTAGTTGAAAAATTATTATCTGGAAGAAAATGTTTGGGTATTATTTAGGGTGATTTTGATAATAAATTTTGTTGCTATTTAGGGTTTAAGGGTAATATTTATTTTGTGAAATGGGTAATGTGTTGCTATTGAGGATCAAGACATTTCTAGAATTCCGTAAGAACATATGATTTTAGTGTATTTTGTGTAAGATTATCTAATCGCCCATACGACCTAATATAGTTCATACATTCATCGGTTGGATCGCTAGGCTCCGATGGACATGGAGCAAAGTAGTCTGAAATTATTAATTATATGTTCCTACGAGGGTGAGCATCATGTAATTCGTTTAGAAGAGGGCACCACGCTGGAGGATCTTTACCGGAATATATCGAAAAGATGGAATAAAGTGAGTATTGAGGCGGTAAAACTCCAATATATTGCACCTATTCAGAAAAGCTACGTGACATTATTGTGTGACGATGATGTCGCCAATATGTGGAGAATGCATATCTTGTTAAAGGTAATGTTTGTGGATATGATTGCACGGTGCAGAAGCGAGCACCAGAGCGTGCCTCTCCGAAGCACGGTTGGACGCAGGTACGTTACTCATCATTTGTAATTAAGTAGTCTTTATTAAACTTTGTTATAGAATGCAGTCACAATTGTTCCTTATGAAAGAATGCAGTCTGTAAGCACTTATAATGCAGTATGTAAGAATGCAGTCTGTAAGCGCTTATAATGTCATGTTCAACACATGTAAAAACATATTGTTTATAGGTTACGTTAGTAATAATTCTTTCATGATATTGGCATACAACAATACCGTGGTATATTGTTGCGATGTTGTTTGTAGGTAGTAAGTATCCACCTCCGCGATTTTGTAGTAGCGCGGTGCAGAACGAACCACTGAAGAGATTGTAAAGATATGTAGTGGGGCTATAACGTCTTGAAGGTATTTAACGATTTTCACTCCTTCTTCACACGCCACTGTCAATATCCTCTAGCAATCCGGTTTAGGTAGGTGTACCATGATCGATGCGTTGAAATTTCTGTAGCCCATGGCATTTACTGCATCACGTAGCATGCTGCGGTGAATAGATGCAGTTGTTCTTTTAAATACCCTGGATGACACGGTAGGTAACCATAGACACCGTGGACATACTCGGTTGAGTAAGATGGGTACCCATGTTTTTCCATTTACTCTGAAAATATCTATTACCATATAAAATTAGAACTACTTACATCTGATATAATTTTCATTCTTATTATTGTATTTGTAATGTAGGGGCGAGGCCGAATGTTCTGGATTGAACGAAGATTGCGCCGATGGTATCTTTATTCCCGACGAAAGTACTAGTCTAATTGCAATGCAGAGATGCATTGTCGGGGAAGGGCAGACATTCAAGGGACCGCAGGAGTTTAGAAAGTTACTGAAGAATTATTCTATTGCCACTCAGAAACACTTCAGGTACCAAAAGAATGATTCGAGCAAAATTATTGCGGTGTGCATCGACAAAGGCTGTGGTTGGCGTATTTATGCATCCTTCCATGCTCGTGATGCATCATTCAGCATTCGTAAGTGCAATTTACATCACACATGTACTATGAGTCTATTGCAATCAAGAGATCATCCAGCAGCCGATGCGAACTGGATTTCTGAGGTCTACAAAGATAAGATACGTTCTATGCCAGCGTATAAGGCATCCGACATCCGGGAGCATATCCAAACAGATTATGGGATTGACGTGAAATATCATAAAGCATGGCGTGGCAAAGAGAATGCGATAAGGGCAATTAATGGTGGAGGTAGAGACAGTTTCTCACAACTTCCATGGTACTGTCATGCACTTCGGGAGTCAAATCCGGGAAGTATTATAGACTGCGAAGTTGAGCAGGCAACCAAACGTTTCCAACGCCTTTTTGTTTGTTTAGGTGCATGCCGGCTGGGTTTTTTGAGGGGTTGCAGGCCCCTACTCTTTCTTGATGGGACACATATAAAAAACAAACACAAAGGGTGTCTGCTAAGTGCAATTGCAGTGGATGGGGATGATGGGATGTTTACTTTAGCATTTTCTGGTACGTAATTTGATATTAGCTACAGTTGTCATTTTGTTAGAATGCTGGGTATAGCTGTTCGTGTATGCTGTTTTCCATGCTCTCTTTAGGCACGTATGTACCCTTATACGTTGGAAACCTTTGTAGTTATTTGTGTTCTTATTTGTTGACTTGCAGCTGTGTCTACGGAAAATGATGAAAATTGGGAGTGGTTTTGCTGGAAGCTGCGATCTGTTTTAGAATGTGAGGGACGTACGGATTGGAAACAGTACACATTCTTCTCGGATCGGCACTCGGGTTTACTAAAGTCAATCTCGTGCGTCTTTCCCGGAGCACATCATGCGTACTGTCTCCGACACTTAGTGGACAACTTCCGTACCCAGGTATATGTACGTCAATATTAATCTGTAATGAACATCACTGGTTATGATCAGCCATAAAATGTCTTTTTTTTAGGTTATGCGGAGATACCCAATGCATAATAAGAAACGATGGACCGTTGTCTTCAATAAGGCCGCCTATGCTCCGTTGAGGAGAGATTTCGAAAACCACATTAGTTCTGTGGTCGAATCAATGCCATTGGCCAGGGACTTCATTACCCAATCACACCCAGAATGTTGGGCAAATTCACTATTCAGAGGCACTCGTTGGGGAATAATAAATAATAACATTGCTGAGTCATGGAATAGTTGGGTGAGATCCGCGAGGTCAATGCCATTCGTTGGGATGTTGGATACCATTAGAAGGCAAGTGATGGTAATGATGAATGAACGCCGCGAAAAGTCGGAGATAATGCACGGAAGGCTCTGTCCAAAACAGGAGAGCAAGTTGGCACTATCGTACATGGCGTCTCGACGGCTACAGTGCAGTTCATCCTCTAGAACTGTATTCGAGGTAACAGATTGTAATGAAAGATACGCAGTCGATTTGGAGGCGCGCAAATGCTCTTGTCGAGAATGGTAAATGTTCCGATTGCCCTGCAAGCATGCCTGCGCTTGCATTGAAAAATGCAGTATGTCAATTTATGATTTTTGCGATCTTTACTATAGCATTGAATCTTACAGAAAAACGTACCAGGAGCCAATAAATCCCGTACCGACGCATGATATGGACGTGATTGTTGAAATTCAGGCGGACCAAATTCACCCTCCTCCGTCGTCTGTCCAACCAGGCCGGCCAAAGAAGCGAAGGTTCGAGTCCCAGCAGGTAAAGAATGCACGGAAATGTGGTCGTTGTGGGCGTCTTGGACATAACAGAAGAAGTTGCAAGCAACAAATAGCTTAGCGAACCTTTTTTTCATTGTACATCTTTTTGGCTTCTAGGAGTATATATTAAGACAGTAGGTACATATTCAATAGCTATATTGTAATTGTTTTTTGTGTCTCTAGGATGTAACCGGTTGGATCCATCGACTTATTTGCAGTAGTAAGTGGTATGTAGCCCTCTCACGCAGGTATATGATGAAGTTGTGAAGGTTCATAGTTATATTCTGCAGGTATATTTTTCATGTACTGAGGCATTTGATGATGTAGCTCTGTAGGGACGGATGGTTAATGTAATCTCTAATTGTTTTGAAAGGACATGCTATCCTATTTTTGGGTTATTACTAGGAGGTATAGTTGTTGTATTACACTCGTCATACTAACCAAGTGCATGTGTCATACAACTTAAGTATTTGTTGATGACTTCTTTAACCATCAGCAGTAAATACATGCTATTTGAAGAAAAAAAAAAAAAAGACCGTTTCCCCAGCCACAGGTAACCAGGGCATACATAATTGCAACTGAAGTATAATGTCACGGTTGTTGTAAGTACGCAATAGCTTACAGAGGGTATATGAATAATGATTCCAACATATAGGGTTGCGGTCCGAGTACAAACCATATTTTATTTTGTTTATACAGTATTCTAATTGTATTACCGTGTAATAACTTGGAGGCGTAGCATTGATTAAAATTCAGCACACAGCTACGTACCAGACTTCCATATGCCACACAACTATATTGCGGTTTTATTATCGTGTCTATTCTATTGTGTTCTAATTCAATTAACGGGTAAGCGATGTAAGTATAATCTGTGGCCTAAAACACGCCATTCAAGATTATGGGGTTGACGAGCAACACTACCATGGTTAAGCCAATACACTCTTACCATCAGTTCATGAATATTTTAAGAGAAAAGGCCGAGTCCCCACCCGTAGGGTACCAGAGCATTTGAAATGGTAACGGAAGTATAAAGGCTATTTCCGTAGGTACATAATAGATACTATAGGGTATTTGTAATAATGACTCCGTTACTTATGCATCCGAGCTAAGTACCAGACTCGCTGAACGAGGTACACAGATTGCGTATGCGGGCATCTGTGTTGTAGTTGTAGGTATCCTAGTTGTAGGTATAGTAGCACTTCTCTGTAACCACGTGTTGCTTAGCATTCCGCAGGAAATAGTTGATTGTAATCTAGACGTTGGCCCACACGCAATTACCAGACACCTATGTCCCGCACAAATATTTTGTTGTAATATGATCATGTTTTTTTAGTATTGTTTGTTTTAAATTAACGAGTAAGCCCTTGCAGTATCTCCGGTCGATTAAAACATGGCGTCCAGTAGGGTTTTATGAGAAACGCCGACACGGTTGAACTGATTCAAAGTGAACGCTATTTCAGTGATCAGTGCAAAAGAAATGACCAGTCCCACAAACGCAAATGACTGGAGCATGTAATATATAAATGGAAGTACATACTAGTTTTCCGTAGGCACATAAAAGCTATCAACGGGTATCACCACACAACGCAGGTATATAATGAAGATGACAAATCAATCCACATAAAAGACATTTACCAATTCCATCACCTCGATACACAATGCAATAACTTCCCAGATCAATCCAAATTGAAGACATTAAACAAATCCATCACCTCCACACAACACAATAACTTCCCAGATCAATCCAAACTGAAGACATTCAACAAATCCATCACCTCGCCACACAACGCAAAAACTTCCCAAATCAATCCAAATTCATTACATGTGTTAACCTGCCCTATTTTTCCATCGGGGTCTACGTTTCAGAAGGGGGGACCTTTCAATATCCTCGCCGCAATCGTGCCTCGGTAGCTCTTGACATCGCCGAAGTCCTCGCCGAGGACACCAACGAGATTGACATCTGGACCTGCCCGCGCATAACACTCTGCGAACATGCAGACTAAAGGTCCACAGTCCAACGTTTCACCCTGGTGTCGGCATCTAATGTACTCGGGCATGTCGCTGACCATAGGCCATAGTCGTGACGCGTTCATATACAACGATAAAAATCGCGTCTGCACAAATAACGTTACTCTTTCGTTAAGGAATTCACCCTACCCATAGGCAATTAATTATGATCATTCGAAAGACGTACCAATTTCTTTGCATTCCCCTGGCCGAAGGGGTCGCGCATTGAGTTACACTCCAACACAACACGTTTGACGGTATCCAGTATGCAGAGATGCCAGTGGAACCGGGTGTGTACGGGTAGAAATATGTACCGGCACCCAGACCGGATTTTGTCCATGATTCCGGCAATCTCTTGGCCTACGGTCACTTGCAGCGAGTTGGCAAACGCGAGTACATTACCCTTATTGATGCTCGGCTTTTTCGCTCCCCTGCTTGGTCGTGATAGCGCGTCGTTCACGGCTTTCTGAAAATCGAGCACAGCAACCAACGCAATAATAACAATGTGATTTGTAATACTAACCGTATAAATTCCAAACAGGATACTCACCGCTACGAACCATGGCACACAACCACACCGCACCTGCGGATTGTGTTGGAGCTGATATTCATTGCTGCATAGATGATATAGGTACGCGTCGATGACTTCGCCTTTCACAGCTTCGTCAAACAGTAGTTCTAAAACGGCATCGGACGATACAGACACGACGCCCTGCTGCCATACAGTGTCCCTACAACATGATAGTCGCAAACGGATAAAAACATCGATTGAGAAAAATATATAAAGCCTTAATAGTGAATAGCAATACCGGACAGCGAATGACGCGAGAAAATGTTCAATGGTGTTCGTCTCATCCTCAGATAAGGAACCCTTTCCACAGTAGCTGTCATTATTGCGATATCCCTCCCACTTTTGTGCTCCAGGGTCTGCTACAACCTTAGCATCCGAGTCCCCATCGTCGCCGACGACAAATGGTTCCTGAACCAACAATGAAGATAATCATGTTTCCGTAGGTATCTGTATTTATTGTACAGGTATTGACGCAGAAACACTAGGTATTTAAGAATCTATCTGAAGTATTTTGAGCCAGACGACTTATATTTGTATGGAACTACGTACCTGCTCACTATTGACGTCGACCGCTGACTTTCCTTTCGCCCTCCGTGTTTTTCTCGCTTTCTCAATTCGCGGTGTCGACACAGGTGTCACGAATTCAGGCTTCTTCTTTCTCTTCCGATCCTTACGTGCCATTACACCACGTACAATCGATGAATCTGCGGCCCTGCTACAAGTCTCACGGTCGGAGTCATCGCCCTGCTACAATTTCAACAAAGCAAATAATCATTCAACAGATAGACAACTACGACCTACAAATTGTACTTACTATATTAATTAGCTTACCTTGACATCTATCGGTGCAACATAAGGAACAATGGCCATCAATTGGTTAAACTCTAGCAGGCTACCAACCCCTTCGTCATCTGACTCGTTTATCGGATCAACTTCGGCCAAAAGGATGTCCATTTTTTTTTTTGCTTCGGCGCTCGGTATTCGCTTGCTCTTCCGCTGCCTCCTCGGGATCCTCCTCAGTCTGACTCTCCTCCTCCCCAGTTTTTTCCTCCTTCTCCTCCTCCTCCTCCTCCTCTTCACCCTGACTCTCCTCCTCCTGACCTTGCTTCTCCTCCATGTTGGCCTGCTTCTCTTTCCTCTCAGACTCCACAGCCATCCGGTCTGCTGTCTCTTCATCCCCATAGTTTGCATCACCCTCCTCGCCATCGCTCTCGTCCTCACCCTCACCTTCACTGTCGTCATCGACAACACCGGCTCTAGATCTTTGTAATTTATGAGCAAGTCTGGCAATTGCAGTGTCTTTCTTCCGCAGCTCCACCTTCAATGCCGCAATTTGCTGCGCTGCTTCCTGCAACATATGTTAATAATGTCATATAAGAAATTATTTTATCCATTTACAACGGTAGCAACATTGAATAATGCATTTACCTCTGAAGCATGACAAATTGCACGAACGAACTTTTCTTCCGTGCCTATTCGATAGAATTCCTGAACATCTGACCGCTTTAGGGATGTCAATTCACCAACTGCATGAACCCTGGACATTGGACCGAGGCTATTCAGCCACCGAAAGAGACGCGGTACCTTCGGAAGGCACCGTGCCTTGTCCAGAGTTGGGACCCTCTCATTGAACCACGCCTGCACATATTGTAATAGACATTACTGCCAACAATAATACATATTGTGCAATATACCAAAATAAGTAGAAAAAATTAACAAATCCGATATTACATTGCTTACCAACAAACCCGCGGTGCAGCCTGTCAAATATTTTTTCCCGGACTTGAAGTCGCTTATAGACTTCAACAGATAACGGTGACTCGCGGGTCCCCACGCGTAGTCACCAATCGCACTCAGGTCTTCCACATACGGTAACAAAAAAAGGGGTACAGAATAATTCGCAGAACAAAATAAAATATTTGCAAAAACAAACATAATAAAAAGACGAGCAACATCCGCAACAGAAAGAGGCTCCAGCCCCTGAAACAGAGCCTCACGCAGCTTCTGCAACACCTGCCCGCGGGTTACAGAACGTGGCTTGCTCCCAAAAATTCGAACAAACCATTCGCTTTCGACCGATGTATTTTCGGTCACGTAGACTCCTTTCGCGTGTAGTCCTAAGACTACAGAATATTCTTCAACTTCAAACGGAAGCTCAATGTCACTTCCAATCTTGAAGGACATAGATTCCGAACTGAAGCTATTGACGAGGGCAACAAGTCGGTGCCATGGAAACTTCATTTTCGGGCAATCCAGAAAATGCCCGAATGGTGTCATGTTTATAGCTGCGATGTGTTGGTCTCTCATGTGTGGCTTCAGTTTGGCCAGCTCATTATGAAAAAAAGGTAATGCAAATCGGCTGATCACCGATTTGTGCTCCTTGCCTGGCCTGTAAGTAAAAACCATAAGTCCACGTTATCCAAATCTCTAATTTAGTTAAAAGTTTTTCACAATTTAGCAGGAGTAAAAACGCATTCCGAGTATACAACAGTGCCGTTCAGGTATATTAATTGGCAAATTAGACCAAACAAATGAAACTCCTGGTGCCTAATATTACCGCATTTATCAACCCACAAATATGACTATTTACCGAACAATCCACCAAAAAACCTAAAATATGCAACTTCGAGTAACTAAACAAAATATACATCTCCAAAATTAACAAAATCAAAGATAAAAATAGATAAAATCACCCAAAATCGGCCGAACCGGGTTTCCTGGCCAAAAATTCGAACAATTTCAAACCACCCGTTGAACTAACACAACACCGAACACCCAGGGCTCCTCATCACTAAACCGAGGCATACAAACACGGGACCAGGGCTTCTACCCCAAACAATCGAGTAAACTACGATATAAAATTCGATTGTCAACAAAATCATAAAACGAAAAGGGTTTCGACCAGACACTTACTTTTTTGAACTCCTCGTGGGGGATCGCGGCGGATTCGCGGTTTTTCTCACAATTTCGCTGAACAAAATGTCTTACTGCTGATCGTCGAGTTCGCGAGGGACGATTTCCTTCTCGAAGAACTAGGGCTTGAACGGAGAGTGAGTGAGGGGAGTTAGGGAATGTTTCAGTTTTTAAATCGTGCATATTTTCTGTGATTTTTTTTTAAAAAAAATCACAAAATAAGGTACGCAGTATTTAAATGGAATTATCTAATCGTATACTGGGGGTAGAGCGGGAGGTAATGTAGGTATATATTATAAAATTGAGAGTATTTATTAATCAATCGTAAGTACATGTTGCATATACAATTGTGATTGAGTAGAAAATACAAGAAGGGAGTTATAACATATCTAATCAATAAAGTAGGGACTGCAGATCAATTAATTTACAATGGAGACTGAATTGCAAGCAAAATACACTGACAGGGATTTTAGTCCAAGTCTCCCTTTTTTTAATTAAAAAAACAAACAATTATATATATATATATATTAATGTTTTGGTTGAGAGTGAGTGACAGGTTTAAACCGTTGAGAGTGAACAGGCAATTCCGTAATTAAACACCATTTCCAAACCCATTCTCGTAACCCCTCACCTCACGCCACCGATCGCCGTCGCCACCGCCGGACGGATACGATTTTACAAACGAACGATCGTCAATCTATACAATGGACTCGCCGCGCACGCCTAATCGGAACAGCATTTCGAGCCGGTCCTCAGTAATCGAATCCCTGCGCGGCTGCACCCTAGCCGGCGTCCGAATCCCTAAGGAGGACCTGAAGAGGAAGATGACCTTCCCCGACCACATCAGGCTCGCAATGCGGGAGGCGATTCGAGCCAACGACGTCGATGCCGCCGCCGGGGAGCGAGCCTACGCGGCGGGCCAGGCCCAGGAGGAAGGGGCCGAGCCGCCGGAGCCGCCCGAGTGTCCCCTCGTCGTGTTTATCAATGCCAAGAGCGGCGGCCGCCATGGCCCGGAACTCAAGGCCCGCCTCCAGGACCTCATGGGCGAGGAACAGGTAATTCAATTTGACCACCAAACAATACGGCCGCAGCAGTAAATTTCAATCAATCTGACTTTTTCACGTGCTGTGTGTGTGGGAATGTATAGTTTTTTGGGAACTTTTTGCTGGTTCTTGACAGATGTGAGTTTGTGAATTTTGTTCCTTTTAACTTTAACTGTCTTGTTCTTTTGGTTTTTTAAATCCTCTTTCGTTGCTTGCTTTGAAGGCATGTTGTTGTTACCGTTTTCAGTAAGGTAATTTATTGGTTAGAGTTCACCATAATTCCAGAGTTTTACCCTGATAATGAAAAACTAAGTTAAAAAACTAGGGTTTGTTTGATTTTTATTTACATTTTTGTATAAATAGTATTTTGAGTGCGGTTTAGGGAGGTAATAGTGTAATTTTATTGGAAATTGCGGGGATTGGTGTGTTTGTTTGGGAGTTTGGATTTTGAGTTGGGATTTGAATAGTAAAAATTTTGAATTTGAATAGTTGTATGATGTGATATAAATAAGCGTTGATGTGAAGTTTTGAATGTAAAATTGATTTTTAGTATAATATAAAAAATGAAAAATAGGTGTTTGATTTGATGTTTTTGGGGAGAAAAAATGAGATGAATAGCGTATTTAAAATCCAGTCCCCCAAACAAACACACCCTTAACTTCACATTTTTTTTTTTTTTTTTTTTTTTTGTGTTTGTGTTTTTGCTTCAATGTTTGTTCGGTGACTTTGAAGTGAAATAATTGATGAACCGATGTTTTTGGCAAAATATTGAAGGTGTATTTGGTTTTGTGTTTCGGTTTAATAGTTGTTGGAGGTAATATTTTGTGAGAGTATATAATTAGTTAGTACAGTGAATTGTGAAAATGGTATATAAAAGAAAATGAAACAAAAAAAAAAAAAAACTCAAACATAATAGAGACCGAATGATTCATTTATTCTGAAACAATCACAAGCACTTTTTGAATTTGTAATATTATTTGTTTTGCTAAGAAAAAAGACCTTTTTCCTATCCTTTGGCGAAAAATAAAATAAAGGGTGGGGGGAGGGAATGTCAAGTGAAGATAGTGTGAACATAGTGGATGGATATAATGTTTTGTATAGAATTTAAGGATTGAAACTGATGCTTCGAGCAAAAAAAAGAAGTGCGAAAAGGGTATTGAAAATATAAATCAGCGGATGACATTTTGTTATCTTTGTTTTGAATTTGAATTTTTTTGGCAGAAACTAGTGGTTGAATATAATTCTTTTGTATATAATTTGAGCTTTGAAATTTATATTTTGGGTGAGAAAAAAATAGTCTGAGAAAGGGTATTGAAACTATAAATTAGTGTAGGACAGTTTGTTGGGAGCTTTCTTTCATGAAGAGATATCAAGTCATAATTCATTTGTCATGCTCGCTCCTGTTATTGGTCCTGTGATACAATACTAGAAAATACAAAAGATTTTAATGGCTATTAATAAAATAGTGAAGATTGTATACAATTAACATTTTTAAGGATCAATGCGGTGCTTTGGTACGAAATTCCATTTGATGGAGAGCATATTTATGCACTGATGAGTGATTGCTTTGTTCAGTAGACAGGGTTACGGCAATCATTCAAATAACTTTTTCTCCAAGTTCATCACATCCACATTTTGTTGTAATCCGTCCTCTTTTTCGTGTCGAATGCTCAGGTTTTTGACCTTGCAGAGGTGAAGCCTCATGAATTTGTTCAATATGGGTTGGGTTTTCTTGAGAAATACGCTGCTTTTGGAGACAACTGTGCGAGAGCGATTCGTGAGAAACTTCGGGTTGTGGTATGTTTTCCTTTTTCCCACTTATAAATTAATATACAGATTACTACTTGAACAGCAACTGCAGTGCAAATTATGCTTATACTCTCTTTACTAGGATGTCTGTCATTCATCTGATCTTTGACAGGTTGCAGGAGGTGATGGTACTGTCGGCTGGGTCCTTGGATGCCTTGGAGAGCTTAACAGGCAGTCCCGATTGCCGGTACCATCAACTGGAATCATTCCACTTGGTACAGGGAATGACTTGGCAAGGAGTTTTGGTTGGGTAAACTTTTATGGACTTGAGCCTGGCATTAGTTTATAAGTTGGGATTTGAATAGTAAAATTTTGAATTGGAATAATTGTATGATGTGATATAAATAGGTATTGATGTGATGATTTGAATGTAAAATTGATTTTTAGTATAATATAAAAATTAAAAAATAGATGTTTGATTTGATTTTTTGGGTCGAAAAAATTCGATGAATAGTAGAATTTGGAAAGAATTCTCCAAACAAACACACCCTTATTTTCTCTTAGGGTCTGTTTGGTTTAACCAAACAAGGTCATTGTAATTTTCTTCTCCCCTCCCCTCCCCTCCCTTCCCCTCCAAATTCCTCAAACCAAACAGATCCTTGAGCCGCGTGGATTTGATTGATCTCTGTATATTGCTGTTGCTTTCAGGGTGGTTCATTCCCGTATAATTGGAAATCAGCTATTAAAAGAAGTCTTGACTGTGTTATTCGTGGGCCAATTGCTAATCTGGATAGGTGAGGTATTTGGTTTTTTACGTCTACTAAGCATTCAGATGTTGCTAATGATTCTAACTGTATCACTCTTCTAAGCATAGTGAGCTGAATGACATAAAACATCTAGGCAGATATAAATCCCTTGAGGACGAAACAATGTTTCAATGATCAAAGTTCTAGGTAGTTTTTTGGTGGGTTGCTAAAGCCAGATGCAAAAGGCTGATAATGTATCTGCTCGTTTTTCAATCTATGTTATTATTACCTTTTTTTTTTTTTCAATGTAATTGAAATCAGAAGATAAAAGGAAGCTTTTTCAGATCATTTTTCTATGCATATTTGGTGTAACCAGAACATGAATTTTGTGAAACTTACTTACTCTACGCCAATTATGAAAATAATTTCATGTGTATTCCACTGAAGCAAGATGAGTCAACACTACAGGCTCATAAACAAGTTGCAAAGATTGTTTTTATTCTTCTTTAAGCTGCCATTGATTGTCTGATCGGGCACCGCATCTATTATTGGTCATCCGAACAATTTTTGGCCTGTTCGAGATGCTTAGATATGCTTCTTATTGCTACTGACTATACAGATCATGAAATCGAATTCACACCTTTTGGTATATTCCATTCATTGAGGGATTTTTGTTGCAATAATTCCGTGGTTATGATTATCATCTATATGCAAGACCTTTTCATTTTACATTAAAATTTCTTTAAATCAACATTCAGATAGTTACTTTATTTTACTTTCGCTCGAGTTCATAGTCTTGGAAGATTTATAATTCACACCTCTCAATGTAATATGCAGTTGGAATCTTTTGATATTAATGCCAGCTGGTGCGGAGTTAGAGGTGCCGTATGCTATCAAACAAACAGAAAAAACTCCTCTTGATCCGGTTTGTGGCAGAAGTTTTCTTGGGATATATATATATTTTCCTTGTGTATGCAGTAGATTCACGAGTTTTGTTGTATCAAACTTCATTTTTTACTGCTATTATCATTGCTTTAGATCGTTGCTCGTTCCTATGCATGTATAGGGAGTTGATGCTCAATATGTTAATTACTTTGTTTAATTTTGTAGCAGTTGAAATATAAATTATTCATTTATGCTTTGTGTTCGTTACTTATTTCACTGCTTACTTGGTAGATTAGCTTTTAAATTTATATCACATAATAGAAGTATGATCGCATCTAGTTAAGAAGGTATGCTACATAGAGGCGTAGATAAGAAAGATCATAAAATGTATGGTAAGTGTTTCTTGTGGGTAAGACTATGGTGGTAGTTTATCAATGCTGATGAGCTTTTAATGTGATCAGTTGTTCGTTTGTGCTTTTTTCAGCATTTAATTGTAGGCTTCACCACACTTGTGGCACAAAATGTACGACGTAAAACCTTTGGCTTTGGTTCAAAGAGATAGTCTTGTTTATAGGGGCCTGTATAGTTTTTGATATATAGATGATAGTAAACCACAATGGTGATTTCATGTAATATTTGGGTATCCTTCTGTTAAATATACTAAGTTTGCTTTCTCAAAATTGTTGTGCTTATGATTTTGCAGGAATTGGAAGTTGAAGGAGACTTACCGGATAATGTTTCTTGCTATCAGGGCGTCTTTTATAATTATTTTAGCATAGGTCTGGATAGGGATTTTGTTTCTTGTTTTGACTATTACCATAGAATATATCTCGAAAACAATACTACTTGATGTGGATACAGGAATGGATGCCCAAGTCGCCTATGGTTTCCACCATTTGCGCAATGAGAAGCCTTACCTTGCTCATGGTCCTATTGCAAACAAGGTGCATATTGTTTTTCCCATCAAATATTGCTTCTCAGATTTATGTTCCTTGACTTATCATTAATTGCATTGAAAGCTTCTTTCCCTGCTCCTTTCCTTTTTTGTGTTTTTGAAAAAAATTAATTATCTATAATAGAAGATGACGTAGATTACAATGAGGGGATAGTAGCTCTGGATAGATACAATCATAGAAACGCATAGAGGGGCTGAAATCATAGGGATACTAAAAACATAGGAACAGACTGAGCAAAGGCGTTGAGTTTTTGGTGTGATGGCCTCGGAGTTGATTAGATTTTAAGTGGGCCGATTAGACTACTTATGTCAACAATGCGTGCATTCCTATTCGTGAGGTCATCTGAAAGAATTCTAGAATTTGTGCATGCTCTTGGATAATTTCAGGATGCGTGACCCTTAAGAAGTCTTAAGGTGCGGATGAGTGGAGACAAAGCACCCTAGAAGGATCTGTGTTAGACCTGTGGTGTCTATCTCGATACGTCCGACTTGGCGTGGGTTGCAAGCCGGGGGTGTTACAATGGAGACTGGAACTAAGCTAAATAAGATATGAAACTGATTAACTGAATAAAAGAAACTTCTTCCTTTGATATTGTGACTGATCAATAAAAATTGTTTGGAATATAAAACTGAGTTGAAGGTGAGTGGATTTGTAGAGGCCAACTTGAGTTTGCCTAATAGATCAAGAAATTGAGTAAAAATTTTGTGTTGATACTGGCAAGTTGATCAGCAGATTATTAGGTACAAAACTGTCCACAAAGTCAACTGATTATCGAATGCAAGACCTCCATGAGATAGATCATCAGGTAGGCTTCGAATAGCAATGATCAGACGAAACCCTTCATAGGATTATAGCATAAATTGTCAGACAGGACACTCTTAGGGTTAGAGCATGAACAAAACCCTCTATGGGTTAGAACAGTAACAAAACTTTCTATGGGCAAACAAATTCTGAAATGGAGACTATCAAAATCCTTCATGGGTCGGAATCAGCACAAAATAAGCTATAGGATTAAAACATAACCCTTTATAGGGGTAACAAATTCGATGGATGACAACATAAAACTAAATCCTATGTTTTATTCATAAGATACCGTACATATTTATAATGAGATAAAAATCATTCAATTTAGAAAATAGTGCAAATCTCCGAAATAAGACTAGTACTATAAGTATAAAATACACAAATGTCTATTTTACAAATATAGATTGTAACGGAAATATTACGGCATGAACATATTCTCTGTTCAAAGTATCACATCCAACATTTATTTACATCAAACACTTCCAAAATATATCCAAATATACCCTTAGAATTTATCATGGGTTGTACCCACTTCGGTTATTTTTACACCACAAATGCACAAAAATATGCGAGCAAATTTCATTGAAGTAGTTATTTCAATGACAAAAGTAACATACCTTCTCTGTTTACTTGCTGCTTGTAAGGATGCTAAATAGTTAAAATTTAGTGCAGATAATCTATTCTGGATACAGTTGCAAGCAAGGGTGGTTCTTCACGCCATGCAGCAGTGATCCAGGTTTGAGGTCAGATATCTTGGCAAATATTTTGGCTCGTAAATGCACCTGTTGAAGAGTATGCCTGATCTGAAGCTATTCTATCATTTCCAGGGCACACACACACATATATATATGGACTTAGTTTTACTGTTCGACCTCATTAATTATGAATTCTCCGCTATAAATTTCCACTACATGCTCTAAGTTTCTGATTCATAGAACAAATTATCTGTTCTGCTCAGATTATTTGAAACATCTTATCATTATCCCACCAATTTGTTACCTTATCCCAATTTTTTCTCTTCTGAATTTCTTACACTCCGGAGATCCTGTTTATCCATATTCAGTTATTGACTCAACCATATTCCAAATCATTTTGAAAACTCCCTCAATCGAATATGGGATGTCTGTTAGTTAGCCATCGGGTAGTGTCCCTTAGGCTCTGGGGATGTGACCATGTACATGTTTATTTTGGTTAATAATAAAGTTGTTGGACTTGTTGTGTTTCTAGAGTTCTTTCAAACTAAATATACTTCTTAAAGAGAACATTGCCGTATATTTGTTGTGCAGGAGTTTGAAGAACATTTTGAGGTTATATGCTAAGAAGGTCAATAGTTTGATCTGGGAACAAATTCATATACCGTCAAGGTTATTCTCTTTTTTGTTTTTATTTGTTTTATTTTTTTTCCCTAAATTTATTTGTAGTGTCTAAATGATCTATAGTTTTGTGCTACATTGGCCATAAAGAAGATCGGAATGCTACCTGAGTATCCACTGCTGTTTCACACTGCACTTTTTGTTCACAACTTTCTTTTTTAAACGTTTTAGATTTCATTGGCCGCATTTCTATTGATTTTTCAGTGTACGATCATTGGTTGCTCTCAATCTTCCTAGTTATGGAAGTGGTCGAAATCCATGGGGCAATTTAAAGCCAGAGTATTTAGAAAAGGTATTGCAATTGTTCTAATCATTTGGTTTGCTCTTATAAACATGGGATCGATGATTCTAATTCATTTTGCACGTGGTTAACGTTCAACGGGAACACTCGTTACAACATTTAAGGTAGCAATATGTATTGGATTTCAAATGTCGAGTTGTTAAAAAATGCAGTTAGTCGATTTGCTTTTGCATACATTCTTCCTGCATCGCTGCTACATTTTACCATTTCCCTGCATCACATTTACCTTTTAAAACTTCTTCGTGTTCGTTCATATTGTTAGTGATGGAAGAAATATGAAACACCCGGAGCACACGGCTAGTTGCTTGTGTCCAAGTTGCTGCATCTCCACCCATATATCTCTCACGATGTAGTCTTTCTCGTCTCAAATGTATTTGTTTGCTCTGATGTCTGTTTAATCACCGGAACTTGAATTGCGCAGCTCGTAAGAAAATGAAAGTTTCTTTCGACAATGTTTTATTGCAGAGAGGATTCGTTGAGGCCAATGCTGATGATGGTTTGCTCGAAGTTTTCGGTTTCAAGCAAGGATGGCATGCTTCAATGGTTATGGTTGAACTTATCTCCGCAAAGCACATAACGCAGGTATATAGCAATCTCATTCGAACCTTCATTTCCATCTCTAATCGAATCACCGTAAAATTAACTATAACAATCATTAGTACACCATTTTCCTATATATTGTTACCATAGACGATGTTAGATCTGCGATGTTCTTTTTGGAGTTTGATTTTAGTTTCTTAACTATGCAATCATTGCTATACCTTAAAAAATATACTCCGTGCGTCTCATTTTTTACCATTTTCGTATATCCATTCAAAAATATCATTTTTCTATTATAATAAAAGTAATCTATATAAAAATATCAAAGAACTCTAACTTTTATAAAAATACCTTTCTCTCAATACCATTTTACATAAGCCAATAAAATAATATTATTTTTTAATTTACTACAAAAAAAGAAAAAAAAAAAACTACATTCCATTTGGACGGATGAAATATTATTTTTTCTCAAAATATTATATCCAAACTACTGTTTAAACATAGAAACAAAATTAACATTCCAAAAGAACACCTGTTTGCTGGAGATGTTAGATTTTGTTCACAACTTGTATGTGTTTTATTGATTCACTTCTTTACTCGATGGTTCTTTCTTGTCGAGAAATTGCTTTCCATCTCGAGACAAAATTGTTCGGTTGGCCTCACTATTCCTTTATTGGATATATTACGCATAATATATGTTATCTAAATGAAATGCCATATCTACATCTTTATTGCATAATTTAGCCTCATCTCCGTGCCAGCAAAAAATGCGCAAATAATCCCAATTCGGTCAGAATTCCCATTATGTTCGGCTTTGTACATAAATATGGATATGTTGATATGCCTAGAATCTAGTTTGCTATTTCGCTGAGTTTTCCCATTATTTAAATAGACTTAGAGATATGAATTCTGTAATGTGTAATGTATCCGTCCTGAATAAATTTGTTCTCCATTTCTATCCGTGGATGTAGCCAATACGTTGTTGGTAAACCACGTAAATATGTGTCTTCTTTACGTTTCTGTTTGTTATTCGATCACTGATCTTAATCCGTCACAACAGGATATTCTATGTGTACTTATACGTAAATAGATTATATAATTGTGGTAATTTTAATTGTATTAACTTTTTTAGCAACAAGAATGATGGAACTATGGTGGCAAATATTACGAACAATCATATACTCTTGATTAAAACCTAACAATGATGCTTATTTCTTTCTGTTTAGTCTCTAAGACTAAGGCAATCGATTGAGCTGATGCCTGAAACTAATATTTAGCTGAAAATTCATCTGCTGCAGGCGTCAGCCATTCGGTTTGAGCTCCGAGGAGGAGAATGGAGTGAGGCGTACATGCAGGTGGACGGCGAGCCATGGAAACAGCCTATGGATGCGAGTTTCTCTACGTTTGTCGAAATTAAACGAGTGCCGCATCATTCCATTATGATCAGGGGAGAATAGTTTTTTCTTTTGTCCGTTTTTCGACATATTTTTTGGCTGTCTGAATCATCTCGTCGTTGTCTTCTTTTGTTGAGGTAATTCTTTTTTGTGTTGATGCATTCGGCCAATGGCTCATACATAAAGTTTCTTGTTAGTTTTGTACATATGAAGACACTATTCTCAAATTCAGAGAAATGAATTTGATATGTACGAGTATGTTACAATTTTTAGAAATTCATTTTATTAAAAGTAATGACATTTGTCTAATATAGTGTAAATTGAAAGGGTATTTATTATATTAGAAATGATAACTTTATTTTGGAACGGACGAAAATAGAAAATGATAACCTTTCAATGAGATGACACTATTGAATATTTAAATCGCCTTGGCATGAACGTCACTTGTATTTTTATTTTGTTGGCGACTTTCATTTTTTTTTTTTTTTTCCGACCAGAAACATACAACCAAAACCTCATGAATTTGCTATATGTAAATCGAGACATAGCAACGATTTTTATATAAAAGACATCGACCATCAATATGTCAAATGTATACAAAGTTAACTAAATATTCTACATGTTACAATATTAAACTCAAAATATAAAAGCAAACGAAAAAATAACATATTTATATAAAATAGATAAATTAAGCCTAGATGAACATATTTTTCGGTGTAGATGAAGGCTAATAGCACCCGACAGATGCAATCACACAACATTCCCGTTCTAGCATCCGAGTCCGGCCATTGGAGCCTTCAGAGCATTCTCACTTCCGATTTTTCGAGACTTCTTCGAGGTATTATTTGTGCCGAAGCAGATGGTCTACCGAGCTTTATATTTAGATGATGGTCGATTTACTTTTGGACAATGGACTTTTAGATAGTTATAATTTATATTTATTGTATAGTTGGTATGATCTAGTCGAGTTTGATACTAGTAGCCTTTTGTACAAGAATTTTATGGTGTTTATTTTGTGAAATAGTTTGAATTTTTTTTTTTTTTTGAGGTATATAAAATTGTGTAGGTAATATAAAAAAAAATAAATATGTGTAGGGTGTATTCTTTTATAGGATTTTACACAAATTCTACTATTTATAAAAAAAATTTCTTCCCAAAATATCAAATCAAATATCTATTTTTCATTTCTTATATCACATTATACAATTATTCAAATTTAAATTTTTTACTATTTAAATCCTAACTCAAAATTCAAACTTCCAAACAAACACACCCGTAATGTATTAATTTTTCTAGGATAGTATGTGATATGATTTTTAAAAATATTACATTACACACAAATATTAGATCACATAATACTAGTACAAATATTTATAAATATTGATATGATTTTTTTTAAAAAATATAAATATTGTATAATTTAAATTTATAAAAGAAATATTTTTAGATTAATATATAAATAAATAAAAGTTGAATGAATGTTAATTTGTGCTATTATTATTTTTTTACTGTTCAATTTGATTTTATAAATATATGACATCAAATATGCATATTTAAAACATTAAATTATATCACATAACTATTTTATCTTTTAAAAAAAACTATTTCTCTGAAAATCAAATAGACTGGAACTCATATTTAATTTATAGAGAATTTTTTTTTGTAAAAAAGGTAGATTTCTATAAAGTGAACAAACATATGCAAAAATTTATAAATTTTGAACTAAAGAATTATCCATCTCATAACAAAATAACTATTTTTATATTTTAGTCTGTCCATAACAAAGTATTTATTTTTTTATTTTTTTAGTAACTGTACTGTTTACCTAACATTACAAATATCCTTACAACTTACAATATATTACACAAATGTCATTACTAGTTATTTTAGTCATTATGTTTGATTTTATATTTATATCTTTATTTTAAAGTTTTGATTAAACAATAATTGTATTTAATGTTACTTGAGAAAAAATATAGTAAACAAGTCGAAGGCTTTGGAGGTGCTCACTTTGAGTTAAGATGTATATATATATATATATATTTATTTATGTTGAATGTTAATTTTTGTAATTAGATAAAAGATACAGATATTATATATATATATATATATTGTGTAAGTATGTATATATTATAGTAGTATTTTTTATAATATTTATTAAGAATCAGATCATGACAAAAATATTGAATGAACACATTTTTACTTTTTTTGTATTGTTTTACTATGTAACTATTGTAATTTCTATAAATTAAAATGCATATCTTATATAAAAAAAATCACTTATAAACTATCACTCAAATAAAAAATAAAAAATTAAAAAAAAATAAAAATAAAAATTAGGAGTAAGATCATTTTCAATCCATAAACTTTATTTATACAATTTTTACTCAAAAAATGCCGTTGTTATAATATTTTTTTACATCCAATTCAAAATTTTATTTTTCACTCTAAAAAAAAAATTTAAATACTTTATTGTATATATTACTTTAAACAATTTTTTATATTTACAATTATACTAAACTTTTATTATTATTTACATAATCATTTATTGTTACTTTATAATATGTTTATAATATATATAGATTCGAGAAAATAATTTTAAAAGTTAATACAAAAAAATAATATTATATTAAATATAAAAATATATAGAATGCTAAATTAAAATAAAAATTACATTAAATACAAAAAAATTATATATGTGATTAATTATTATATTGCTCTCTATATATAATTGTTCAAAATATATATGTTCAATAAAATAATTATGAAGTAATATATGAACTTATAACTTGTATGTATCGTTGAAAAAATCTTTTATGTTTCCGAAGAAAATGTCGATGAATAAGAACTTTGGCCTACCACATTGTAAAGCCCTTCCATATTGAAATTTATTTTTACAATAGAAAAAATATTTTGATATTAAATTGAAATATGTAATATATGCTATAAATATAATAATTTATAGAACAATGTGTATGATATTTAAGGATAATGTTAGGGTAGATCCAACGGCACTAAATTGATCGATGATGTTAGGTACATCCAATGGCTCTAAATAGATCTATCATGTTAGGTACATCTAACGGCTCTAAATTGTTGGATGATGTTAGGTACATCTAACGGCTTTGATTTGTCGGATAATATTAGGTACATCCAATGGCTCTAAATCGTTGAAATTATTATAGAAAACTACTTTTGATATATATTTGAAGGGTTTTGTTTTAAATTATCATTTCACACTACATTTGTGTAAAATTCTAAAAAAATAAAAATGTCTTCTAAACGTTCTACTGGATTCATCAACGCTGAAGATCAATTACTTGTTGAAAAATTTCTTGAAATTTCTCAAGATCCAATTACATCCACCAGCCAAACATCCGTAGTGTTTTGGAAAAGAGTGGCCGAAGCCTATAATGTGCAGAAGAAAGAAGAATGGGTTCCACGCAGTTTCCGATCTATACAGACTCGGATGGGCAAACTACAGAAAGAAGTCGGACAATTTCTTGTTTTTGAGAAAGAAGTCGAGAATTTGCATCGGAATGGTGTGTCGGAATCGGATATAGTAAGTATCTTTCTAAATTTTTATTATTCTAAAATCTTCATAAATTTAATATACTAACTATAAAACTTTTTTTTTTCCAGTTGAGAGACGCTAGACGAGTGTTTGCGGAAAAAAACAACAAGAGTTTTAGATTTGATCATGTTTATGATCAACTAAAAGACTTTGGAAAATTTAAAGATCACAATGAGTGTGTGCCTCCTAGAAAAATTCCCCGAAAACATAATGCAATACTTGTGTCGTCGTCATCGGAGAATTCAACTCCTGATTCTCATACATTGAGTTCATTTTCTATTCATTTAGATCATGAGGGTGACGCTGGTGGATCTTCGTTCAATTTTACGGATAATAATTTTGAAACTCCACAAGAACATTTACGTCATACGGGAAAGAAATATAAAATGAAAAAGAAGATTGATGAAACCTTATATTCTAATGTTGAAACCTTAAAAAACTACACATCACAAGTTGTCGAAATTATGAATAAAACATGTGAACAAATGAACGAGTACAATGTGCTTCAAAAACAAAAATTAGAATATAAAATGCTCAGACGTGAAGATAAAATTTTGGCAATGGATCTTAATGATATTCTGGACACGAATCTTCGTATGTTATATTATAATCAACAACAAGAGATCATAAGAAAAAGAACAAAATAGTATTAACAAAATTCGACTAGTCGGTACTTGCATTTTTTCCGATGGTATTGGTGCCGGTGACTTAGATCCGTTCTAAGTATTGTATGTTTTATTTTTAATGATTATATTTGTTTATTACTCATATAATTAGTTTTGTAATGTATTTTTTCTTTTAATCCAATGAATATTATTGTATACTTATACAATATTGTTATTTTTAATTATATTAACACGTTAAATTTTATATTTGTATTGATCAATTTTATTTAATTTAAACGTACATTTCATGTAATCAAATATTTACTTTTATGTATATTTACAAAAATATTTATACATTTTTATGCATAATAAAATATAAAATATTATTATGTGATAAATATGTAAAAAAAATATATATAAATTTTTTGATATAAAAATTACTTCAAATTTAATTACAAATACTGTAATTATTTAGTATAAAGTTTTTATGAATTGAATGTGTAATTTAAATTATAACAAATTGAAAAACTATAAATATTAATAATTTATAAATAAAAAAATATACCTAATTAAAATATAAACATTGTAGATTGGCCTCTCCATAATTATAGAGATACCAATATTCAAATTAAAAATAAATAAATAAAATGGCAACGCCATATCAATCTCTTTTAGCAATATGACGTGTATTTACTTATTTTTTTAATTTTTATTTGGTTTGAATTTTAATATTTTTTAAACAAAAATAATTATTAAATAGTATAATATTTGATTAATATATATATATAAATATATAATATTTTTTAAAGTAAAAAAAATAAATAAAAATGTATGAAATAAATTTAAAATACAAATGAAAAACCCTTTGGTACAGAGGAATTGCAGAGAAATGAGGGTAGAGAATGGAATTTGAGAGAAAGAGAATTGAGGAAAGAATGAGAATTAATTCTCTTGTCTGGTACAATAGAGAATTCAGTTGAAAAATTAAAAAAAAAAAAAATGAATGGATCGGACAAAAATAAATGATTAATCTAACAAAAGAGAATTTTAGCAAGTGAGAATCATGAAAAAATATTTATGGTGACTTTTTTTAAAACAAAAAATTATAAATTATATACGAAGTTTTGTAAGATCATATTTTAGTATAAATTTTTGTAAAAAATTAAATACTTGAATGATAAATTAAAAATAATTTTTGTAAAACTGAAATAATATAATATAAATAATTATAAAAATTAAATATTACAAAAAAAATAAAAAAATAAAAATACATATACTGAACATCATTTCTCTCTATTTTTTTGAATATATGAGAGAAATGAAAGTAGAGAAATGAAAATGATTTATTTTTCAACTTCTATTTCTCTGATTCAAACAAACAGAAGAAATAGAAACATTTCCATTTTTCTGTCAATTCTCTATACCAAACACACCCTAAAAGTATTTTCTCATTTGGCCTGGTTGAGAATAGTTATTTAACGAAATCTAAGTAAAACTTTTGGAGAAAAATCCAATTCAAGAATAAAATAATTGCATTTTAAATAATTAAATTAATAATTTATTACAAATAATTTATATTTTTAAATTTTTCGTATTGTTATAAATACTTCCACCGATAAAATATCTAAATATAAAATAATTTGTGTTAAAATCAATTAATAAATATATAATTCATAAAACAATAAACAAAATTGAGGCGATTATATTTAAATAATAAAAAAAAAAAAACTAAAGTCCAAAAAATTAGAGCCAAACAATCGGCCTCCTAAAATTGTCATTTATATGTTTAATTTTACTAGTGATACAATCAATCTGTTCAGTGTTCACTCATTATTTTTAAATTAATTAATTTTTTTGTGTGATATAAAAAACTGTGTCGATAATATAAAAAATAATACTCATTCCGTCCACTAAATAAATATACATTTACTTTTGGCGCGGAGATTAAGGAATAATAATATTTTAATTATAGTGGGTAGATAAAAGTAATGAAATGACATTTTTGCCCTTACTTTTTTGGTATAAAAGTAATTATGTGATGTAAAGTAGGGGTATTTGTGAAAAAAATAAGGTATTTAATGAAATGATTACTTTGTAATTGGACGTCTCAAAATAGAAACATGTATACTTTATAGCTGGACGGAGGGAATATTTTATATTAAATAATTGATTTTTTACTAAGAAATGATATATTTTATATTAATATGTGCCTATATTTATATTTCTTTTAATAACATTTATGAAAAATGGTATAAATGTTATGTGAATAGACTGATTAAAAAGGGAAGCTAATTAATGCCGTCAACTTAGGCATGTTGGTGGTTACAAGTAGGTTTGGAAGTTTTGAACATTAAAATTGAAATTAGAACAATGGTTTGATGTATTATTATTCCCTGCAATTTTATTTTATTTTTTTAGTGTAATAAAAAAATAAAACAAATAGTGCTTTATTTGATGTTTTTTTAAAAAAAAAAAAGAAAAAAAAACATTCCCTTCATCTCGGCTAAAAATCAATTTTAGTTTCAATATAATCAAAATTTAACAGTTTTGGTCATAATATAAAAAATTCATTAATTTTAGTCTCATCATAAACTATTTCAATCAATTTTAGTCCAATTATAAATAATTTCAATAAATTTTGGTTCCATCATTAAAAAATTAACGAAAATTGCTGACATGGACGTAACGGAGGTGACGTGACAGTTAACCTAGAAACTATAAGAACATGTACAATTATACACGGCCATGTTGTCACACGACCATATATATTTCAGAGTACAATTATACATGACCATGTTGTTACACGGTCATGTATAATTTTACATGCTTGTGTAACTTTCTGTTTTGGTATAAAATTTTATTTATTTATTTTTTAAAATTATTTTGAATTTAGAAAAATTGATATAGTTAAAATGAAAAAAAAAATTTAATCCTAATATAATTAAAATGTATCAATTTTAATTCAAATAAAAAAATTATATGATATGTTGTTTTGAAAAATTTTGCCTAAAATTCTATTATTCATCGAAATTTTTCTCTTACAAACTTCCAATTACACAACTATTTTTTTATTTTTGCATATTATAATATTAAAAATTAATTTTACATTTCAATACATTTATATATGTCTACGTTGAAATTGTATTCAAATGTAAAATACATTTTTAATAATAATATAAAAAAATAAAAAATAATTGTGTATTTGAAGATTTGTAAAAGGAAAAATTTGATGAATAGTAGAATTTTAGGCAAAATTTTTCACAAAAAAAAACATATCCTATAATTTTTATATTTGAATTAAAATTGATACATTTTAATTATATTAGGATTACATTTTTTTGTTCATTTTAACTATATCAACTTTTTTAAATTCAAAATATTTTTAAAAAAAATATATAAAATAATATAAAATTTTATACCAAAACAGAAAGTTACACGACCATATAGAATTATACATAGTCGTGTAACAACATGACCATGTATAATTGTACACTGAAATATACATGGCAGTGTGACATGTCGTGTATAATTGTACATGGTCGTGTAGTTTTCAGGCTAGCTGTCACGTCACCTCCGTTACGTCCACGTCAGTAATTTCCGTTAGTTTTTTAACAGTGTGACCAAAATTAATTGAAATTGTTTATAATGGGACCAAAATTGATTGAAATGGTTTATAATGAGACTAAAATTAATGAGTTTTTTTATATTGGGACCAAGATTGATAAATTTTAGTTATATTGGGAACAAAATTGATTTTTTTTCCCTTTATTTTAATTTACGATTCGAAAATTTAAATAAAGTATAGTTAGTAAATAACTAAGAAATATATTAGTAAAAATAATTATTATAGTACGTATAATACAAATAATTATAGATTAAAATTAAGATTAAGATAACTAATAAATTTAATTAAGATTAAAAATATTATTGATTATGAAATTAAAATATATAATTATTTTTACTCAAAAATAAAATAGTCGAAAAATAAAGTAGGACAAAATAAAAATAGTGAACAAAAAAGATGCCAACGGAAAGAGTACTGAACAGTAAAATTTGAGTTTGAAGCTCTTGGTGCAAACCCAAGTTCCATATTAGAAGATTAGAAGAAGACTGAACCAGGAAGTTCATCTCAATTCAATTAGGCTTAATCCTATTTGTTTGTATTTTGATTTTCAATTCCAGTATATCATTTCTTTTACATTCGACTTTGGTATTCTAGTATTTTGGATTTATTTGATTTAATTGCTTATGTTACTAAATAATTCGTATTTTTATATACGAGGTTTGTACGATAAATCCAAAAAATTCAGGAATAAATTCACAACAGAAACCAATGAGTAAATACAACTTGTCCGAGCAAACTTTCCTATTTGTTTTTCCAACACAAGCAAAACACACGTCTTCTTCGAATAATTTTTTTTTTTTCAAATTTATAGAAAAACTTAGCACATTCACCACCTTCGCTAATCATATTCAGAAGACACGTCATCGGCAGAGGCCGATGGAGAATCAGCCATGCCCGAGTCATCTTGCTCGGGAGCCATGCTCGATGCATCATCGGGAGCTGAAGCAGCGTCGTTATCTGGAGGATCGGCATAATTAGCACCCGGAGGATCGACATAAGCATTTTCCGGAGCATCAATGCTCGATTCAGAAGCTGGAGGAACGGCAGTGCTTACATCGTCATCGTTTAAATAAACTTCTCCGGTCGCTGTAAGAAGAGAAAAATCAAACAATGAAAACTATGAGTCGCGTTAACTTTAGGTACAAATTTATAAGAAAAATATTGTTCATGTTATTATTATTATTATTATTATTATTATTATTATTATTATTATTTTTTGTAAAGAGCATCGCAAAACTTATTTATCATTAAAAATATCATATTCAACAAGAGTTTTTAATTCAAAATATTACTGTATGATACTTATTTTTTCTTATATATATATGTATATATATATTTTAATTTAAAAATCCCAACATAAATAAACACACCCTTAAATTTCAAATAATAATGGTTGTATTAGTACTATATTTGTATGTGGTACAAATCAATAGAAAAAGACTAAAATACTCTTATTAGAATTGTGGAATATAACAATAATGACATTTGTATAATATATTATAAGTTTTAATGATATTTTTAATGTTAAGTAAATAATATAATTACTTAAAAAAAAAAAACAAATACTTTGTTTTGAAACAAACGAAAAAAGATACTTTCTTTTGGAACGGAGAGAGTATTATTTT